GGCGTTAAACCCAATTAACACACACATGATACATAACCATACATTTTCGGCTTTTGTACATGTACCTTTAGAAGAACTGATTGTCACATATAGTTTCTCATTCATTCATTGGAAACGGGAGCTTTCGTTTATTTGTAGTCTATTTCTAATGTAGTTTTTGAAAAGGTGAACTGTCTACCAATGAATATTGCTCTGCGTGTATTCTATGGTCTTAGTGGTAGAAATGTGTCTCGGGTGTTATTGAAGCATTCCCACGCGTTTATATCATCGGCAGCAGAATTAAAACAACAACTCATCTCCAATGATGATTAGCTCTCTCTGATCTAACAGACATTTGTATTTAGCATCTGGATCTAAGCTCTAACCACATAATATATCGTAGATACTAGTTCCTTGAAAGTATTTTCTAAATGCTTGAAGTATCTGGACGTTTCAAATAGTAACTTGATTTTTAGTTTTTATGCGCTTCTTGACATGAGTGTGTGTAAACAATTACACTTCATAGATGCGTCCCGTCAACGGACGTATAATAAGCAAAGTGTCATGTCGACATCTTATAACGTATTTAGGAACACTACAGCTAAGTCTAAGTGAATAAAGGATAGAAGCATTTCTGCTTCTAGTTTGGTGAAAATGCTACATGTGAATGAAGTTACCATATATTTTCCTCCAAATTTACGTATTTGTAAATATAACGAGATGTTGCATGGCTTTAGGAAATTCTTCATAACACGGATCGTTATCGTTAACGCACTTCATTTAGAACATCTGACTCTTGCTCACAATGGAGTGCAAGGTTCTACACAACCTGTCGATGGGTTAACTGCTCTCAAACATCTACATCTCAGTGGTAATGAGGGCCGTGGGATGACAAAAGACTTCTTACAGTCTTTTCCTAACTTAAATCTCTGTCCTTGAACAAATGGGTTTGGATAAGAACACACTTCTAGAAGGGGGACCGGTACTTCAAGGATTAAAGACAATATACAGTTAACGTCATTTAGAGATTGTAGGAAACAACTTGCAATATATGGACATGCACTCTTTTCGTTCTTTGATTATTCTAAATCTGTCCAGAAACAGTCTCGTGTCTGTACCATTAATGTCTACTGATCTGCCTGACCTCAGCCTCCTCGACGTCTCAGTGAACTCCATCACCTACTTTGACGATGACACGATGGATATGTTGGAGCTCGAGACTCTAGGAGAGAGGAACAAGCTGACCCTGAAGCCGGATGGAAACCCTATCTCCTGTTGCTGCCAGTGTCTTATGTTTGTTCAATGGATCGTTACATCATTAGTTACCGTCGAAGGAAACGGGAACTACTCATGTGTGACTGAGTATGGTGTCCCTACAACAACCCACACAGTCTGCCAAGAGTTTACCTATCACTGGACAGCATGTCAGGGTCGAGTGTGGCTATCTGCGTCCATCACTCTGATGTTTTAAATAGCTCTTCTCCTTGTGTCCGATTTACTGGTGTCTACCAACTGGACAAAGATTGGACATCTCATTTAGGTCCTCATGGGTCAAGGGGTTCACAAAGTGTCCAGGAAGGACTTCAACAAGGATGCTTTTTGAGTTTGTTATGCAAGAACTCTGCATCGTACTGGAGGAGAGACATGAACTGAGACTTATCCTCCCAGACAGAGACTTCCTTCCAGGTTCCTTCGTGGCTGACAATGTTGTAGAAAGCATTAACACAAGCTGGAAGACAGTATTGGTTGTGTCAATTTTTTTGATGATCCCTACTTTATCATGAAGTCGACCACGCACTACATCTCTAATATGAACCCTTACAGTGAGTGAGTGAGTGAGTGAGTGAGTGGGTGGGTGAGTGAGTGAGTGAGTGAGTGAGTGAGTGAGTGAGTGAGTGAGTGAGTGAGTGAGTGAGTGAGTGAGTGAGTGAGTGAGTGAGTGAGTGAGTGAGTGAGTGGGTGGGTGGGTGGGTGGGTGGGTGGGTGGGTGGGTGGGTGGGTGGGTGGGTGGGTGGGTGGGTGGGTGGGTGAGTGAGTGAGTGAGTGAGTGAGTGAGTGAGTGAGTGAGTGAGTGAGTGAGTGAGTGAGTGAGTGAGTGAGTGAGTGAGTGAGTGAGTGAGTGAGTGAGTGAGTATGGGTTTACGCCGCTTTTAGCAATATTCCAGCAATATCACGGCGGGGGACACCAGAAATGGGCTTCACTCAGTGTACCCATGTCGGGAATCAAACCCGGACCTTCGGCGTGACCAGCTCACGCTTTAACCACTAGGCTACCCGACCGCCCCGAACCCTAACAGAGTGATCCTAGTGCTGGTGGGTGACGTGAACAACGGCCGACTGCCAGAGCTGCCCCTGAACGTGACAGCGGAGGAGGACATCATTGAGATGGAAGAACTCCCTGACCCCAACAGTGACGTGTGGGTACGTGTGAGGAACAGAATCATAGCTGAAGCATAGCTGAAACATAGCTAAAGTATGCTAAAGCAGTGTCAACAGTGTTTTCCTAGGTTACAAACGTAGGTGTTGTTGTAGTTGACAAGGATGTGGTGGTTTGTGGTTTGTTGTTTTACGCCGCACTCAGCAATATTCCAGCTATATGACGGCGGTCTGTAAATAATCGAGTCTGGACCAGACAATCCAGTGATTAATATTATGAGCATCGATCCACGCAACTGGAATCGAAGACATGCATCAACCAAGTCAGCAAGCCTGACCACCCGATCGATCCCCTTAGTCGCTTATTGCGACAAGCATAGTCACCTTTTACGGCAAGGATGGGTTTCTGAAGACCTTTTCTACCCCGGAATCTTCACGGGTCTTGACAAGGAAGGCCTGAGCAGCGTGTGTATCTACCAGTAACTTTATAAAGCTGGACTACTGGTATTATTGTCAGGTACTTGACGCGATGTAGCAGGTTTGTGAACTTTCCTTATCAGACTATTGACACTCAGTGGCAGTGTGTAATTAAGTAAACAGGATGGGATTATATGTTTAATCATGTACTAGCTGGTTTGACAATGTGCGGAAGTGAATAAATGAAATATGACTACTTACTGTTTCTGTTCCTTGGTGGTCTGCAAAAATAAATGAAATACTGTTCAAAGCGGTTTTAAATCAAACAGCAACAAACACCTACAAAATATCAATGAACATTGTTTGAAAATAAGATCAATATATCACAAAAAGAAAGAGAAAAAGGTTCAGTTTATATTTGTGACATGCAATGTGTACCACTTTCATTATCACATCAAATTTAAGCCTGTACCTGGAAAAATATTGTTTTTCCTTCAAATTTATGTTTGATGTGCACATCATAGAAATCCTACTCCGAATTTCACCTGCTTGTAGATATTAAATGAATTTAATATATGTGTTTTATTGTAAATATCAACAACAAATCATACTCATGCATCCATTTATACACGAGCCACATGTAACTGTGGAGACATATATTGTACACACTTTTCACCCTATCCTTCAATGGATGCTCTGTTGCTGAATCCGTTGTTAAATATGCCCCAGTTTCCTAAGCTTCTTGCGTTGTATACATCATGGAGCTGAGGATAAAACAGTACACTGATCAGGTGAACGGGTAACGAGTATACTCCGTGCTTGTATTTGGTTCAACACCGCTTTGAACAGAATAGTGAATGTACTGGTCAGTGTGGGGAGGCTTGCGGTAGATGGCAGTTTCAATGTTTTTAGGGGCGGTCGGGTAGCCTAGTGGTTAAAGCGTTCGCTCGTCACGCGGAATACCCGGGTTCGATTCCCGACATGGGCACAATGTGTGAAGCCCATTTCTGGTGTCCCCCGCCGTGATATTGCTGGAATATTGCTAAAAGCGGCGTAAAACCATACACACTCACTCACTTTAATCTTTTTATCATAGTTTGGGTGGGAATCATTACCGGAAAATCATCAATATCAGCATTATCATGTGAAATATACAATGACAGTTATAAAAAAAACAACAACACCAGTTGGCCTACGAGTTCAGTAATTCCTTGCTTAGGCGTGCCAGACTTATATGTTCAAAACAAAGTATCGCCCCGATTGTTGATGGGTTTTTAAAAGAAGACGAAGAAGTCCTCGGCAGTTATTCAGACCATTTAATAGTCATAGGCAAGGCATGGCAGTTGTCAACACACGCACACGGACAGCACGTGGTTACATAAAAAAGTATGAACCGGGTGCATACAACTGTCGAACCGAAACGGAATGGCAGACAAACGAATCACACCCGACGACATGTTCACCGCACCAGCAATAGGCAAACAGCCCTACTATTCTTACTATTATTGAACAGCATTCATTCATTACTTTATGACAGGTACACTCTCAATGCCGCGTAGCAATCATGCTCACTAACCCAGTATATATCATATAATCAATAATTCGTAATTCAGCTGTGTTTTACGTAAAGGGCGATTACTCTTTCAGCACTCATCGGTATAAGAATATGATCACTACCTAAACAACCCGTGAAGATCCGGGTTAGAATAGGTCTTCAGCAACCCCGTAAAAGGTGAGTATGCTTGTCGTAAAAGGGGACTAACGGGATCGGGTGGTCAAGCTCGCTGACTTTGAAAACGTTTACGTTTGACCATGTTTTCCAGATGAATTTACTTTGTTGTTGGTATAATCAGATTGGTTCGAGATTGGAGACTAACGGAAAATCAACCCACTTCTCCCTCACATTCTCACTTTATCAATTACATGAGAGTTTTAATGAAATAGAAATTCAAATTGACAAAAAAAAAAGAAGTAATTTAACAGGGGTAAGCGTATTCGGCGTCACGACAGTCGTCACTTGTTTGTAAACATAACGGTCAATCGGCTGCGAGTTCAACTCCAAGTATGGTTGTGGTCATCTATCACTGTGGGGAGTTTTGGCTGGTGGCAGCGATAGTATAGAGAGCTCAGGGAACGTACTATCGCTGTGAGGAGCTTGCATGACAATGGCCAAAGGGAAGTCACTCTCACCAAAGAATGTAGTTTAGCTGCCCTTGCCTCAATAAGGGTCACGGTCATTTGGACACCAATTTTTCAGCGGGAATGAAAGGTATATTTTGGTTGTCGTTGAATTTAGCGTTGATTGAATGGACTGATAGAGTACTCTGATTTCAAGACAAGGTTACCGAAATCTGCCGTTGGAGGGATAAAGCAAGTGAATCTATCGGTCAGTATGTCGGAGAAATCGTTACTCAAAATAATTATGAAGTGAAAACATAATCGAGCCTTCAAACCTTACATGATAAAAAGTTACCCTTAGCCCGATGTTAGGCAAATCCAAACACACTGCCGTGACAGAGCACGAACCACAAGGGTCTTGCTAAGTTAAATACATGTGACGTCCGAATGAACAAACCGCTGCACACCAAAAGGCTTTCATAGAAGAGTTTTCTTCCAAATTATATCGGGAGCGGGTGGGCAGCACTTGGACACTTAACGTTCTTAACGGCATGCAAGTTGAACCAAAGTACCCATTGACTTTCTTTCATCGTATATGTGAAGGGAGGTAACTGCTGTGGTGATTATAGTCGGTAGTGGTCGTGTTCGTGCGCTTGTTTTAGCAAATTCTTAGGATATTTCCTCGACGACTACTTCGGTAGTAATCGGACGCCTGCGGTTGAAGTCGGACACCCCTGAGGCAGTACCCGGACACTTTAAGAATTTAAAAAAAATGTCTTAACATAATTACAATTGTGTATTTTTTACGTTGTGTCAATGAGAACATCAAAATAATAGCAACATAAATACAACTTCATTGGCTTGTCTCATTTTGGTATCACTGTACACAGATACATGTGTTTTCTTATACTGACATTAGTTTTCTTCTCAGTCACTAAACCCAAACGCTGTCACCATCGAATCCTGTTTCATTCAGTCTTTCTATTATTTTGAATAAAGTATGCGTGAATCTCGTGGAAAAGGGCGTAAAAGGGATATTCCATTTTCTGTTAAAATATGAAAAATATGTTTATGTTTTGTACCTTTTAATGTGAAATGAACACTGAGTTCACTTCTTTTAACAAAGCAAACAATGCCAAGAATAAAATTCACATTGCATATGCGGGAAACATTTTTTTCTCTCTCAGCTACAAATGTCACACGTGAAGAGAAGGTCGGCGAGTTGTTGGTGTGTTAATGTCTGGCAGCGGTAGAAACTAACATTTTAAGTTCACTAGTCCTTATAATGATAACATATAGCAAAACCATTAAACATGGCAAATTAGTCCTTAGGATACCTTCAGTATTGGGTAGTTTGGCAAGGACTACAGGACTAGTGCCAATTTCTAACGCTGTCTGGTATCCCAGGCAATTCTTGTGGAACCATTCAGTCCAATTTAGACATCCCACCCAGTCATCATCATCCGCCAAATCCTGACCCAAACAAAGGTGACAAAAATCCCGGAGGGTACTATCTGGAAAATCGGTGTCGTCGTAGTCGTCGTCATCCATGTAGGGAATCTGGGATTCAGAGAGGTCTTGATCACTGTCTAGTGTTGCTTTTCTTTTCTTTTCAATTTGTTTTAACAGTTCGGGTGCCTTTTTCTCGTCTCCTTGCTTTCTCTTTTGCTCACGCTTCTCTTCCTGTTCTTTTCTCTTAGGCCTTTCCGGGCGGCTTTCTCTTCTTCTCGTTTAAGCTTCGTTACCTCTTTCATTTCTTTCATCTGTTTCTCTTCCTTTGCTTTTCTCTTCTTTTCAAGGAGATGTTCCCTGATGTCTTCTCCTGAGGCAGATTTGGTCAACACTGTAGGTTTATATTTTGGGTACGGCTACTTAAATATTTGCTACCAGTAGATTATTTAGCCGTGGCCACCATTCGCAGGTACCGCGATCACTCGGAAATCCACGGAACCGCGATCACTCGGAAATCCACGGAAATAGAATTTTGTGTAATCGGGCTAACCAGGGAATGATGACCTGGTTCCGTGCTTGGGGCGTGGCTAAAATAGGTCACGTGGCAGTGACCTTCTTTGTACGTTGACGGATTGACAAAAATAAAATACTTATGTTACTATATATCTCTACTCCTCATTGCACTTTGGTGCTATACCAAGTGACTTGATTTGATTTCATACATTTCATACACTTTTACGGCTTTATTTATGCAATGTGATTATTGGACTGACACGAAATGACGGGTTTCGTTACATAATATAGTTATTTCTTTAATTTAGCAAAAATGGCGGGTTTTTTCGGAAAACATTTCTTGTATTTCATATTAATAGTCTTGGAAGTGGAAACCTTATATTTGCTCATAGTTCCTTGGCTGGTATAACATAGAATTCTCTTGGGAAGCAAAATTCTATACACAAGCATTGTGCTCCATAAGCCTTTGTTCAAAAGTATTATAAAAAAAAACCAACAAGATCTTAGCGCCGGCACATTGTTTTGAATAGGCGAATAATCACATGTCATGTTACATTTTTAAAGCAACATGTATTAGTTCGTGGTCTAAGCGTGACACGTGATCTAAGCTGATTCCCGGCTCCCTATGCGCGTCGTCAACTTGCGGTATTAGCGACGGGGCCCAGCTTACAGGTGGTCATGCTTTCTTCGGTTGACGTCATCAGTACTATGACGTCATAGCAACTGTGACGCGACGTTAAATGACGTCATGAAACGGTAGAATATTTTTTCATCCCTGTTGAGAGTTGTTCTTACATTTTCCAAGTAAGTGAACATAATTTTTCATCTCCTATACTTGTGCATATCCTTGATAGTCATAATGACATTCGGCATTTTAAAAAACCCAACCTAGTTAAGTGTAGATTTGAAGTTAATATCGGCTTCACCCGTGAGGGTTATCGCAACGCGATGAACGTCTTCACGCACTAAGAGATGTTTCTGTTATTTCACACAGAGTGCCAGCCTAATGTGGGAGGAATACCCTAAAGTTATGCAGGTCTTGAGGCTTACTATTTAGTGAAACCAGTGAGCATGGGAATGGTGCTGTCAAACTAGGAAAGATAATCAGGGCGAATCTTAGATTCGAACCCGCGAGCATATCGGAAGCCAGCTGCGACATCCGTGCCCCCAGACGAATAAGGCCAGCAATTGCTTTTATTATGACATATTTTAAGCTCTTGGGTCTCCTCAACCCTCAATTTGAAGTCGAATAAAATTCAACAAACATCACGCACACCAAACACACCACAGTTATGAATTCTGTGGAAAATTCCCTGTTCTGTGATATCACCGACTGTCGTTTTAGCCAAAGATAAATGACTGAAAATGACCTCTGAAAATTAGTCACATCGTAAATCACGCCATTTTTGAAACAATCTAATCTGATTTTAATGAGATTGTTTTTGACCCATTACTAAATCACCATACATGGCGTTATTTAGTGTTTGTTTTGAAACTTACATATCGGATATTTACTCGGAAAATTGAATTAAAACAATAGCATATTAGTGACTACGGCAGTTTGTTTTCTTTTCTTTTTTTTCTTCTTTTTTTTATCAAATCGCCAGTGATCATTCTGAAACGTCCCCTACAAACCTTGTTTAGAATGTTTTGGAAAATACCCAAACACGAACGCCGAAATGAACTTTCCGCCATAAGTTGCCAGTTATGAGTCGACTATTACATCACGTATATTTCAAACTCAGCTGCGACACATACATCCCTGAATTCCTCATACATTTTAGAGTCAAATGACAAATGGTCTTTTTCACTAATACAAAGTGTCTAGATGAAATCAAGCGAAATAAATCAGGTATCAAAACAAACGTTGTGCTCGGAAACTCCACTTGTTTCAAATGTAAACAAAATAAAACTGTATTTTTGAGAGATCCATTCGTCCTTTCGTTGCGTATACTGGCTTGGTAGTGTTAGAATAATAAAGGGAAGAGTATAGTAGTAAGAATTAGGGAATTAATAATAGATTACAATGGTTTGGTTAATTCAACTGAAATTTTCCATTCTTGCTGTAAAGGGCGACAAGGAAGCGACTTACGGGATCGGGTAGTCAAACTTGCAATCTCATTAAAATCAGATCTTAGTTCTCGCTACCGCTAAACAAATAGCTGAGAATGAGATTGGTCAGACTCGCTGACTTGGTTGATGCATGTCATCGTATCACAATGGCGTGGATCGATGCCTATGATGTTAAACACTGGATTGTCTGGTCCAGACTCGATTATTTACAGACCGCCGTCATATAGCTGGACTATTGCTGAGTGCGGCGTTAAACAACAAACCAAAACCAACTGAAATTGTCAAACGTTCCGTCCTGCGTATTTGGTATTTTCTTTGAGGCGAAGGTCGGGTGAATGAAAGTGCACACGATTATTCTATCCTGCTGCTGACATATTTGCTATACGTCTTTCACATATTCTTTCACGCAGTTAATTGTACTATGGATATTTATCAATGTTAAATAACATTTCATACGAAGATATTAATGAACCTTTGATAATCTCCAGTTTGTTTGAATATTGTGTAGCGTAGCAAAACGGAGCACATTTTGTAGTAAATTTCAATGTAAAATTCACAAAGGGAAAAGCATGTTATAGTTATTTTCTGGCGGTTTGAAATTAAATGACGTTTGGGATTGTCTGCCCTTTGGACAGAGGTGAAGGAAAGCTCCGGTCCCAGCGCGTGACACCTTCGTTACACTCCTTGGTTCCTCGTGAACAAAACATCACGAAAACATATTGTCCCTACCAAGTGACAACAAGTAGAGATTGCTGCAGAGCATCAATAGCTCCCCGCAATATAATGTTATGTGCAGAGGAAGGAAGTGTAAGCTATGGGAGGAGAGAATTTGTGTTAAGTACAAATTGGTTGTTATTAATGTACTTATCTTTGGAAAGCACAATAAAAGAAACAGTGTCTTTAATTGGTCAGCACAAAGAAAACCCAGGCAAGAAAAGTGGGCCTGTCAGGCAAAACTTAATATATATACCCACTATTAGTACCAATAAAAAAATGTATTTTGTAGTTTGTGATTGTGTAATATTGCCACTCTTTCTTCATGGAATGTTCCGCAATACATATCTCATCTAAAACATCTTTGTTGTATAATAGCATGGGCGGATACAGCTTTTTTGAAAAGGGTTTGTGTGTGTGTGTGTGTGTGTGTGTGTGTGCACACAAATAAGATCTATTTATTGTCTCTGGTGGTAATTTATACAGAAATAATGATTTTATGCAGAGTTGTGTCCCTTGGGCACGCCAGAAACCTATGACAGTGTGTTTGAATCTCGGTTCACCCCGATTTTGTTGTCAGCACAAAACCCTTGCTCGTTGGTTTCACCAAAGTGGTGAACGTCTAAGACCTGCATCACTTCAGACTTTCCTCCCACTTCAAGCTGACACGGAATACTATTCAAGACGGCGTTAAACCAAACTACCTCACTCACTCTTGTATATGGTTCCGTTTGGTTAACTGGGTTTGTGTTGTGATTGCTTCCGGCTTAGATTGGAAATATGTTTAGAAGAATGTTACTATGTTCAACCCAAACATCGTGAAGATATCATGCAACCGTATTATCTTTTTGGAAAATAATTGCAAACTACAGGCCAACCTGTTGATTTCCTATGTATCCAGAAGCAAAGAACATATACGGGTGTATGATCTCTGCTGGAAGTAAATTTTTTTTTGTCAAAGCAATAAACCATGCAGAAACGTAAACCGCCGCATGAAACGGTATGTACCATACATTACATACAGTGAAGTATTTAAAACAATGCTGTGCTCAACTATGCACAGCAAGCGCCATACATGTGATTATGAAGACAACTAATAAAAGTATTCTCATATCAAACCCGTTGTTTTACATGTTTTGTTTATTGAACAAAGTCATACTTTATAGAAGCCTGTTATTTAATCGTGTTGAACAATATGTTGCAATAGCAGTGTGAAAATTGAGTGCGCGTGACAGGCTTGGCCTAAATTCCTTCCTGGAACTTTTCTCGATGGCTGCCTGAATAACATACGATACATTGCAGAGGTAGTGCGCAATTGAGCTGTTCGGGTAAGGGAGATAATCACTCACTCTCAGTGATACAGCTTGAATAAGATACGATGTACAGCAATGCAAGGTCAGTGCGTGAATTTATCACTTTTATACTACGCCTATAGCTAATGGAGATAATCGCTCAATGCGCAATAGTTTATTCTTACAAAATATAGACCGGTCAACTTTAGCGAAATGGGATCATGTTTAGTTCTTTTAAAAACAAAATGAACAAATTTCATGGGTTATCAGCATTACGAAAAGTGACTAAGTCTCAGAATAGCAAGACGATTTGGAAGTATCTCTTATTGCTGTAAAAGATAAACATCAACATTTCACGCACATTTCACATGATTTGTATGTTTCGTTTCGGTAACTGTGTGGCTTGAAATTTCAAAGAAACCAACATGTCGACTTACATGCTCTTAAATTAACCTCTCCCGTATACTTCCCCGCCTTAAGGGCGGGGAAGAATGAACTAGTGATAAACACAGCGGAGTTATGCCCCCTTTTCAGTGTACGTTCTTTGTACCCTCCCTGTTGTCTTTGAGGCCATAGAGGGAAATAAATTTTCGTTCTTTACGGAAGCTATTTCTTTTGTATTGGAAGTATAACGTCTTTGAATGGCATTGAGAAGTGACACACAAGGAAGTGAATTTATGGATGTCAACTTCATTTTATAAGAACACAACATTTCGGAGCATATGCTTACTCCTTTATTAGGTGAATGGATGCTAGGGAGCAGAGCATAACGTTACACACGAGCAGCCATTATATATATATATATATATATATATATATATATATATATATATATATATATATATATATATATATATTGGTCGCCGACATATAACAAGAAAATACGGGTGACGCGTCAAACCAACCAACAAACAAACAAACAGATTATAAATTTGAAATAAATTACCATAACGTACAAAACATGATTGCCAACAAATATTATCAACACCGGATATCTAGGTAAGTACAATCTAAATATATGTTACTTGATGGTGATGATATCGTAAGTTTTACCCATTATATAAATCGTTCCGGTTTTAGGTTCGCAAACAGTTTCCGAAAAAAATCGTTGGACAGTACTTTTATCGGTGTACGATAGAAGCAGGAAAATTGATGTTTTTTAACGCATGCAGAAATCTCTGATAACATTCAACAGTATCTTTTTTTCAAACCGATCCTTACATTTGCAGTTACATGTACACCATCATACAGGAAATTTTATATTCTACATCTCTGCGTCATTCTATAGCCGGAGATTCAGATCTTATGAAAATGTGTGTCAGAAAAATAACTCGGCATCGAGCGGGTTAAGCAAATGCACGCGGGGCCATTGTTTCTGCTTTATCCCCTGTTCTTCAAATAGCCAAGCTGCCATAGCCCCTTTAAGTCATCAGACATGACGGATAAGAATCTGGTAAAAATGCATGTGTAAATCTACCCTAAGCAATTGTCTTCGGGGATTCAACTAGTAAGAAATTCCCCGTGGGGATTCTGGGTTAGAATATATCTTCAGCAACCGTTGCTTTTCCCACGAGGCGATAATTGATTGGAGCTACAGTATGTTTGCGTGTCATCGTACGCTAACGGCAAAGGGCGTTGCTTACTTACTTACTTATATTGGAGATATAACGTGCGCTTTCCGACTGCAAGCGTATGTCGCACACGGGTCCGGCCAGGCCATTTAATGTGTTTCCAAAAATGGGAAAAATGAGTTTGTGCAACCCAGGAGGGGGGCTTTAGGGGTTGCTTATATAGTAATTTTGAAATTTTGAGATTTGGAAAGAATGCCAAGAGTGGGTGGGGGACGAACTAAGGGAGCTGTGTGTGTTAGATAAGGTAGTTTTGGTTTTAATATTTTATTTGGGGTTTAAATGCGACTAATCAGTCCTGTTTTAATTAGGTATATGCCTAAGGCTTTGAATTTTTCTAAAATTTTTTTGTGGATTTAGGATTGATTCTAGTGTAAGTCCGGTTTTAAGATTTAGGGTGGTCTGTAGTGTTGTTCGGTGTGTTTGGTAGTGTGTGCAGTGAATGAGTACGTGTTCTGGTGTTTCTTGTTGTTTGCATTCTGGGCAGTTTCCTGTTGTGTGTATAATAGTTATTTTACGGTGGTTATTTAGTTTGGTGTGGCCTGTTTGTAGTTTAGTAATTATTCTGTCGATTTTTTTGAATGGGTGTAGTATTTTTGGTTTATTTAGGTTTTTTTGGGTACTTTCCTGATTTGGCTATTTGACGGCGGTCTGTAAATAATCGAGTCTGGACCAGACAATCCAGTGATCGATGTCATGAGCATCGATCCATGCAATTGGGATCGATGACATGCATCAACCAAGTCAGCGAGCCTGACCACCCGATCCCGTTCGTCGCCTCTTACGACAAGCATAGTCGCCTTTTACGGCAAGTATGGGTTGCTGAAGATCTATTCTACCCCGGGATCTTCACGGGTCGTAAACAGATTATTAATTTGAAATAAATTACCATAACGTACGAAACATGATTGCCAACAAATATTACCAACACCGGATATCTAGGTAAGTACAATCTAAATATATGTTACTTGATGGTGATGATATCGTAAGTTTTACCCATTATAACAAGAAAATACGAGTGGACCAGACAATCCAGTGATCAATGTCATGAGCATCGATCCATGCAATTGGGACCGATGACATGCATCAACCAAGTCAGCGAGCCTGACCACCCGATCCCGTTCGTCGCCTCTTACGACAAGCATAGTCGGGATCTTCACGGGTCGTAAACAGATTATAAATTTGAAATAAATTACCATAACGTACGAAACATGATCGCCAACAAATATTACCAACACCGGATATCTAGGTATGTACAATCTGAATAAATGTTACTTGATGGTGATGATATCGTAAGTTTTACCCATTTTTCTTTTTTCACAGTGATGTGATGTTTTTTTAAACAAACGCCACAACCTTTTCTGACGGAACACAGATGTCACGTGACAACCAGGACCATTTGCCTCAAGATGGAACCTCGCACAGTGTCGGGTCATCAGTACATAGGAGCGTGGAGGCGTTTGATGTTTCCGTGCCAGCAAGCAAACTGTTCTACACGGAGAATGAGCAGGACAGAGACTACGCGTCCGCCGACTCCGAGAAGGATCAGGAATGGAAAGGGGAAAGCAGCCTACGGCTTACAGACCTCGAGGACACAGAAGGAGTGGACGAAGGTACGGTAGAGACACATGGTATAAAGACTGAATATATGTGACGGGAGAGAGAATGTGCGTGACGGGCGAGAGAATGTGCGTGACGGGAGAGAGAATGTGCGTGACGGGCGAGAGAATAGGTGCAGTGGGAGAAAGAATGTCTGACGGGAGAGAAAGAAATGCTGGAGAGAAATGGTTGCAGGGGAGGCAATGTGTTTTGCTGGAGAGAGAATGTGTGTGTGGCGAGAGAATGGCGAGAGACCTTTACCGATTTCATACTGATTTTCATACATAATTGAGACACACTTTGCCGATTTCATAGTGTTAGCTCATTGAGACACACTTTGCCGATTTCATAGTGTCAGCTCACTGAGACACACTTTGCCGATTTCATAGTGTTAGCTCATTGAGACACACTTTGTCGATTTCATAGTTCATTGAGACACACTTTGCCGATTCCATAGTGCTAGCTCACTGAGACACACTTTGCCGATTTCATAGTGTTAGCTCATTGAGACACACTTTGCCGATTTCATAGTGTTAGCTCGTTGAGACACACTTTGCCGATTTCATAGTGTTAGCTCATTGAGACACACTTTGCCGATTTCATAGTGCTAGCTCATTGAGACACACTTTGCCGATTTCATAGTGTTAGCTCATTGAGACCGACTTTGCCGATTTCACAGTCTTAGCTTATTGAGACACACTTTGCCGATTTCATAGTGTTAGCTCATTGAGACACACTTTGCCGATTTCATAGTGTTAGCTCATTGAGACACACTTTGCCGATTTCATAGTGGTAGCTCATTGAGACACACTTTGCCGATTTCATAGTGTTAGCTCGTTGAGACACACTTTGCCGATTTCATAGTGCTAGCTCACTGAGACACACTTTGCCGATTTCATAGTGCTAGCTCATTGAGACACAGGCGAGAGAATGTGTGACTGGAGAGAGAAAATGTGTGACGAGAGAGAGAGAGAGAGAGAGAGAGAGAGAGAGAGAGAGAGAGAGAGAAAGAGTATGTGTTATCGAAGCAGGATATTCATAACCACTCTTACTATAAACAGATATTGAAAGACCCAAGTTTTCCCAGATGAAGGCTTTGAAGTCAGGAAAAAGTGATCCACATCTTGGATCCACAAGACCATCAGGGGTTGACTTAGGGGAGGTAACTGCCTCCGAGCCGATGGTGTCTGTCCTGCGTCAACAAGCAGCAGCCGATCGAGACAGGACTGTGCACTTCTCCAGCGACGTCACACAGCGTGAAGGTAGCTACAGCAGATATATCATTGAAGAGCAGATCGGTATCCATACAACCAATGCAACTGTCAGACTGCAAGCGTAGCTGTAAGCCTTAACGCAACCAGTACACTTGACTGTAAGCCTTAACGCAACCAGTACACTTGACTGTAAGCCTGAAGGCGACCAGTACACTTGACTGTAACCCTGAAGGCGACCAGAACACTTGACTGTAACCCTTAACGCAACCAGTACACTTGACTGTAACCCTTTACACAACCAATACACTTGACTGTAACCCTTCACACAACCAATACACTTGGCTGTAACCCTTCACACAAATATACACTTGACTGTAACCCTTCACACAACCAATACACTTGGCTGTAAGCCTTAACGCAACCAGTACACTTGACTGTAACCCTTCACACAAATATACACTTGGCTGTAAGCCTTAACGCAACCAGTACACTTGACTGTAACCCTTAACGCAACCAGTACACTTGACTGTAACCCTTTACACAACCAATACACTTGACTGTAACCCTTAACGCAACCAGTACACTTGACTGTAACCCTTCACACAAATATACACTTGACTGTAACCCTTAACGCAACCAGTACACTTGACTGTAACCCTTCACACAAATATACACTTGACTGTAACCCTTAACGCAACCAGTACACTTGACTGTAACCCTTCACACAAATATACACTTGACTGTAACCCTTAACGCAACCAGTACACTTGACTGTAACCCTTCACACAAATATACACTTGACTGTAACCCTTAACGCAACCAGTACACTTGACTGTAACCCTTAACGCAACCAGTACACTTGGCTGTAACCCTTCACACAAATATACACTTGACTGTAACCCTTAACGCAACCAGTACACTTGACTGTAACCCTTCACACAAATATACACTTGACTGTAACCCTTAACGCAACCAGTACACTTGACTGTAACCCTTCACACAAATATACACTTGACTGTAACCCTTAACGCAACCAGTACACTTGACTGTAACCCTTAACGCAACCAGTACACTTGGCTGTAACCCTTCACACAAATATACACTTGACTGTAACCCTTAACGCAACCAGTACACTTGACTGTAACCCTTAACGCAACCAGTACACTTGACTGTAACCCTTAACGCAACCAGTACACTTGACTGTAACCCTTAACGCAACCAGTACACTTGGCTGTAACCCTTCACACAAATATACACTTGACTGTAACCCTTCACACAAATATACACTTGACTGTAACCCTTCACACAACCAATACACTTGGCTGTAACCCTTCACACAACCAATACACTTGGTTGTATCCCTTCACACAACCAATACACTTGACTGTAACCCTTCACATAAATATACACTTGGCTGTAACCCTTCACACAACCAATACACTTGACTGTAACCCTTAACGCAACCAGTACACTTGACTGTAACCCTTAACGCAACCAGTACACTTGGCTGTAACCCTTCACACAAATATACACTTGACTGTAACCCTTCACACAAATATACACTTGACTGTAACCCTTCACACAACCAATACACTTGGCTGTAACCCTTCACACAACCAATACACTTGGTTGTATCCCTTCACACAACCAATACACTTGACTGTAACCCTTCACATAAATATACACTTGGCTGTAACCCTTCACACAACCAATACACTTGGCTGTAACCCTTCACACAACCAATACACTTGGTTGTATCCCTTCACACAACCAATACACTTGACTGTAACCCTTCACACAAATATACATTTGGCTGTAACCCTTCACACAACCAATACACTTGGTTGTATCCCTTCACACAACCAATACACTTGACTGTAACCCTTCACACAAACAATGCACTTAGCTGTAACCCTTCACACAACCTATACACTTGACTGTAACCATTCACACAAATATACACTTGGCTGTAACCCTTCACACAACCAATACACTTGGCTGTAAGCCTTAACGCAACCTATACGCTTGGCTGTAACCCTTCACACAACCAATACACTTGGCTGTAACCCTTGACACAACCAATGCACTTGGCTGTAAGCCTTAACGCAACCAATACACTTTGCTGTAACCCTTGACACAACCAATGCACTTGGCTGTAAGCCTTAACGCAACCTATACGCTTGGCTGTAACCCTTGACACAACCAATACACTTGGCTGTAAGCCTTAACGCAACCTATACGCTTGGCTGTAACCCTTCACACAACCAATACACTTGGCTGTAAGCCTTAACGCAACCTATACGCTTGGCTGTAACCCTTCACACAACCAATACACTTGGCTGTAAGCCTTAACGCAACCTATACGCTTGGCTGTAACCCTTCACACAACCAATACACTTGGCTGTAACCCTTGACACAACCAATGCACTTGGCTGTAAGCCTTAACGCAACCAATACACTTTGCTGTAAGCCTTCACACAACCAATACACTTGGCTGTAACCCTTCACACAACCAATACACTTGGCTGTAAGCCTTAACGCAACCAATACACTTGGCTGTAACCCTTCACACAACCTATACACTTGACTGTAACCCTTCACACAAATATACACTTGGCTGTAAGCCTTAATGCAACCAATACACTTGGCTGTAAGCCTTAATGCAACCAATACACTTGGCTGTAACCCTTCACACAACCAATGCACTTGGCTCTAAGCCTTAACGCAACCAATACACTTGACTGTGACCCTTCACACAACCAATGCACTTGACTGTAACCCTTCACACAACCAATGTGCTTGGGTGTTAGCCATCACACAACAGTATATCTTACTGTTACCATCCACACAACAATGTAGCTGACTGTTACCATTCATACAACAGTGTAGCTGATTGTAACCCTTCACACGACAGTGTACCTGACTGTAACCCTTCACACAACAGTGTACTTGACTGTAACCCTTCAAACAACAGTGTACCAGACTGTAACCCTTCACACAACAGTGTACCTGACTGTAACATCCACACAACAGTTTAGCTGACTGTAACCATCCACACAACAGTGTAGCTGACTGTAACCATCCACACAACAGTGTAGCTGACTGTAACCCTTCACACAACAGTGTAGCTGACTGTAACCATCCACACAACAGTGTAGCTGACTGTTATCATCCACACAAGTGTAGCTGACCGTAACCATCCACCCAACAGTGTCTCTGACTGTAACCCTTCACACAACAGTGTAGCTGACCGTAACCATCCACCCAACAGTGTCTCTGACTGTAACCATCCACACAACAGTGTAGCTGACCGTAACCATCCACACAAGTGTAGCTGACCGTAACCATCCACACAACAATGTAGCTGACTGTAACTACCCATACATGTACAACAGTGTAGTTGACTGTAACCCTTCACACAACAGTGTACCTGACTTTAACATCCACACAACAGTTTAGCTGACTGTAACCATCCACACAACAGTGTAGCTGACTGTAACCATCCACATAGCAGTGTAGCTGACTGTAACCATCCACACAACAGTGTAGCTGACTGTAACCATCCACACAACAGTGTAGCTGACTGTAACCATCCATACAACAGTGTAGCTGACTGTAACCATCCATACAACAATGTAGCTGACTGTAACCATCCATACAACAGTGTAGCTGACTGTAACCCTTCACACAACAGTGTAGCTGACTGTTACCAAACACACAAGTGTAGCTGACTGTAACATCCATACAACAGTGTAGCTGACTGTAACCATCCATACAACAGTGTAGCTGACTGTAACCCTTCATACAATAGTGTAGCTGACTGTAACCATCCATACAGCAGTGTACCTGACTGTAACCATCCACACAACAGTGTAGCTGACTGTAACCATCCATACAACAGTATAGCTGACTGTAACCGTCCATACAACAGTGTAGCTGACTGCAACCGCTTCACACAACAGTGTAGCTGACTGTAACCATCCATACAACAGTGTAGCTGACTGTAACCATCCATACAACAGTTTAGCTGACTGTTACCCTTCACACAACAGTGTAGCTGACTGTTACCAAACACACAAGTGTAGCTGACTGTAACCATCCATACAACAGTGTAGCTGACTGTAACCATCCATACAACAGTGTAGCTGACTGTAACCCTTCATACAACAGTGTAGCTGACTGTAACCATCCATACAACAGTGTAGCTGACTGTAACCATCCATACAACAGTGTAGCTGACTGTAACCATCCATACAACAGTGTAGCTGACTGCAACCGCTTCACACAACAGTGTAGCTGACTGTAACCATCCATACAACAGTGTAGCTGACTGTAACCATCCATACAACAGTGTTGCTGACTGTAGCCATCCATACAACAGTGTAGCTGACTGTTACCCTTCACATAACAGTGTAGCTGACTGTAACCATCCACACAACAGTGTAGCTGACTGTAACCATCCACCCAACTGTGTAGCTGACTGTAACCATCCATACAACAGTGTAGCTTCCTGTGACCCTTCACACACCCAGTGGAGCTAACTGTAACCCTTCACACACCCAGTGTAGGTGACTAATCCTCCAGACAACAGTATATAAGGGTCAAGGATTGTGCCAGAAAACAATATGCCAAGTGCTTCAGGTGAGCTTTTGTTCATATATTATCAGGTAAGCTACAACGCAGAGGTTTAGAAGGTAACCATGTGATATTTCACCACGCTGTTTGTGTCACCCAGGTTACAGATCACGTGATGTCAGGGATGTGACCAATGAGAGGATCAGTCATAGCGAGGGGGCAGTAACAAGGCAGAGACCTGCGGGTCGAGGCCGCCTGCGGGAGTTCGGCAGATCGGTAATATGCTGTGTTCTCCGTTTCGCCGGGTTCGATTCCCGACATGGGTACTCTGTCTGAAGCCAATTTCTGGTGTCCCCTGACGTGATTTTGCTGGAATATTGCTAAAGGCTGCGTAAAATCAAACTCACTCACTCACTCACTCACTCTTTATTAAGTCTTGTCCCGGGGGATACGAATATAGGTCAACAGCAACCTATACTTGTCGTAAGAGACGACTGAATGGATCGGGTGATGACATGGCCCATTACATGTCATCGTAACCAAATTGCATGTATAAATACTGACGATGTCTATCACTGGTTTGTCTGGTCAAAACTTAATCATTTACAAACCGATGTCATTCAAATATTACTGAGTGCAGAGTTAAACTACTAATAATAACATTTGTTAAATCTAATTAAATAATCACTTTTGTATGACCTGTCTAATAATTTGTCCTCAGACTTTACCACCAAAAATGACTTCTTCACTGGTCATGCAAGAGGTCGTTTAAAAAAATAAGAAACTGTCAGGATCCTCTTTTCATTGAAAAGAATTGTGTAGTGTGAAACATTGATCGAAAAATCATCTCCGACGAAAAATCCACAAACAATCACCACATATAACTTTCAACTCTGTCCGGCATTATCTCAGATCGTTCTCGGAGATTCACTAAAAGCACAAAAGGAAGATAAAAGTAAATATCCAGACAAATATATGATCTACAATAACTAAAGTTGGTGTGCAACTCAGAAATAATATCAGTGCGCTGCTCAAATGTAATGGAAATGCCCTACTTGTCTTTATCGTATGTACGCTACTCAGCAAAAGACCCGTGAAGATCCGGGTAGAGAATAGGTCTTCAGAAACCCATGCTTGCCGTAAAAGGCGACTATGATTTTCGGAAGAGGGATCGGGGAGGCAGGCTCGGTGACTTTGTTGATGCATGTCAGTGTATCTAAATTGCGTAAATCGATGCTCACGATGTCAATCACTGGATTGTCTGGTCCAGATTTGATTATTTACAGACCGCCGTCATATAGGTGGAACATTGCTGAGTGCGGCGTTAAACAACAAACAAACAAACTCAGCAATAATATCAGTGCGCTGCCCAAATGTATTGAAAACGCCCCACTTGTCTTTATGGTATGTAAGCTGAACAACATGCTGTACTCCTGGGCCCACTTGCACAAAGCGCCAAGACTTTTGTAAGCCTATGTTAAAGTATGGGAGTTACGATCATCTTAGCGCTAAGATCGCTTCGTGCAAGTGGGCCCAGTAGTGCCCTCAAGTTCCTGAACTTCAAAGGAAGAGCACTACACACAAAGTGTAAGTGCGCTACTCAACACCAACACCATCTAAGAAGCAGTACTGTGTTTCAGTTAGTCAATCTCTCTGAGACTGACAATATTGAATATTCTTTTTCCAGATTGTCAATGTCCTCAGTAGAACGTTCCGCCGTCACCCACGCCGACGAGATACGAAACGCGGCCCTCCTTCATCCAATGACGAACGTGATTCTGAGAAAAGAGATATTCCAACTCAGGTGGAAGAACTGCGACTTCCGGCAGATCAGCTAATCCAAAAAGAATGTAAGATGAAAAGATAAGGGGATGATTGAGTTTCGTTAATGTTTAGTTCGGGTTAACTCCGCATCGAACAATATTTCGGACGTTTGTCACTTGAAAATGTAACCAGCGAGCACCGGTAGGGTGCAGAAAAAGCAAGGAACATAATAACATTAAGAAAGTGATTTACAAATTGAAACGAACACGTTACACAGACATCAGCTCGCACAGAATTAAAATGCGAAATCAGTAAAGGACCTCGCACGATCGATGAATAGTGATAATCAATAACATTATTTTAAAACACACAATTTCTGGTTTACAATAAACCAATAAAATGGCAATACGACGTCTCGAATAAGCGTCTGCAGTCACAGGTAAGAGGCTCTAGAATGCGTGTATTTGCGTACACTAAGGTTCAGAAGAATGTTAAATGTCTTGAAAGAGGTTTGCCTTCGTTGTTGCATACAGTGTTTAAAGCTGGGAGGAGTTAGTTGTTCCAAAATAGGTATCCAATCACACTTAGAAAGTAGTTTAGAAACCAGTAAGGTCGAACAGGATTCGAATCGCCTTCAGGTCACTATTATATATATCTAGAAACTGTCGCATACAGAAACTTCTCGAACGATCCAGCCTGCCATATTAATGTAAACAAAGTTTTCCAGGTGTCTAGTGCCAATTGTTTTCATCGGTGAGGGCTTTAACGTAGCGTTCTAGATTATTGCACCAATATAGCCATGATTATGTACGCGCGTTCGTATGTGTGCTAGTCCAGACTAATGTTAGTTTTATAGTGCTAGCCCATTGCGATACTATGCCGCAGTTTAACATGGATATCCCAATCAGACGCAGTATACTGACTAATACCGACCGCCAGGCAGGGTAAAAAGAAGTACCATATAGTTTAACGTCTTTTGGTATGACTCGGTCGGTCACCAACCTCCGACCTTCCCTCTTCAGGGCAAAAGCTCTATCCACTAGACCACGTAGGCGGCTCACAGACCTAAAAGATTTTATATTCACAATTGTTGTAAACATACAAGGATAGCGGGAGATATGGATGCATTCTTGTTGGTACTGGTTTTCACTCAGTATGATATTCCATATTACTTCCAGTTCGTTCAAAGAGAGTGGCAAATATCAACGATGAGGTCAAAGTTGAAGAGATCCCCTACATCAACCTCAGCTGTATATGATCTCCTCGAGACAAAACACCCATCAGCAAGTGCAATTATCCATTCTGTGCAGTGAAACATCATTAATCCGAAAAAATCGCTTCTCGTTTTAGTATCCCTGTAACCAAATTTCAAGATGAACTATATATTGTTTGTAGCAGAGAGTGTTTTTCTAGCATGCGATCTAAAAGGATCGCCCGGGATGCGGAGATTTCCGGAATAAAGAGGCTTTACTGTTTACACCTCCGGGCGACATTGATGTACAAATATTGACTTTCAAGAGAACGAAACCTGTTGTCAAGGATGTCCGTACAAGTATTTGTAAGTGTATTGTTTACACCCAAAGACAATTTGTACAGTTCGAACCTTGTAATAAATATTCAAAAATATATGTGTCTGTGTCCTCTGAAATATCCAGGGTATTTCTTCATGAAAAGGTATTACCTGTTTGCCTTAGCCCTCCGGGTCACTTTTACAAATTTGTAATTAGTCCCACAAGAATAAAGTCTATGTTAAAGTATTAAGATATAATACGATTATGATAGGAAAACGACCCTGCTGCGAAACGTAACAGTTCCCCTGCTGATTGGAATTGTGAAAAAGGTATCAGTCAATACTTAAAGTGTTTGTATAGGTGTACTCGCTATTCATAACCAACGAATCAAGTAGAGGCATTGTTTCATCCGACCCGTGAAGATTCCGACTAACGGGATCGGGTGGTCAGGCTCGCTGACTTGGTTGATACATGTCATCGATCCCAATTGCGTGGATCGATGCTCATGCTGTCAATGACTGGATTGTCTGGTCCAGACTCGATTATTTACAGACCGCCGTCATATAGCTGGAATATTGCTGAGTGCGGCCTTAAACAACCAACCAACCAACACTTAATACATCGAATACATCGACGGGGATGCAAGGGACCAATGAACCACACAGGCCCCTGAAGCAGATTTTATGGTAACAGGTTAAGTGGAAAATTGACCAACACTATTTTCCAACATTGACGATCAGATTTTCTTCGTCACAAAGTATTGAGTAGCGTACATACACCATATAATAGTTCTCACTGTTGATAACTCAAAGGGGGCACGGGTGGCCCAGTCGTCTAAGGCGCCGCGATTCACTGTGCAGAGTTGCGTCCCTTGGGCACGCCAGAAACCTATGATTGGGGTTTCGAATCCCGGTTCGCCCCGATTATGTTTCTAGGTTTGTCAGCACCATACCCGTGCTCGTGGGTTTCACCGAAGTGGTAAACGTCTGAGACCTGCATCACTTCGGGCTTTCCTCCCACATTAAGCTGACACGCCGTGATATAACTGTTATACTGTTAAAAGCGGCGTAAACCCAACTCACTCACTGATAACTCAAAGAATACAACTATATAACATGATTGCACAATTACTGTTTTGGGGCTGTCATCATACTGGCCCTCTTTAACGTCAACGGTAGTTTCCCAGTGGGCCTACAGTTTAAAATAACATGATATGGTCTGATGGTCAGGATGTAGTATAAAACGTTGAACCTGATTTACACATACAAAATGAACTTGTCTATTGACCAAAGTGTAGGAAATCTGGGAAATTAATGAAAATACAGAACACTGTCATAGTCATTTTTTTAATGTTGTTTTATTCATCATTTAAGATTTGGTACAAAGGTTTCAGTTAAATCATATCACAGAAATGCACATTTTATGAATGGCAATATGAAAGATTTAAATTCACAATATGCATTTCTTATTATTAGTCAGTCAAATTCACAGACATGAACGTTACCAGAGTCAAAGCCAACTACTTTGCCAATTGAATCAAATGTCCAGCAGTGTTTAGGAACTGTAATGGAGTCGTTTTTTCCAGTCTGGATGTGCTCTGTTAGTCTCACAAGCCTGGAGTCAAGCTCACGATATCCACGCTTTATACGAGTCTTGGGAAGGGCACCGAGATCGAGGTGGGCACGTTTGACCTCGTCCACAGCTTCAATGTTCTTGATGTTGGTCACAAAGAGGTAAATGTTTGGATGGGTCTTGGCGATACGATTCTTGAGTTTATTGTGCCTTCCTTCCCAGTGACTGTTGGTGCTGGGACCAATGTTGCCATACGGTTTGTGTCCAGATTCGTCGTAGTCCACCCAGGTAGAAGTGATTAGTCGTTGGAATTGGCTACCTTCTCTGAGTCAGGACCTTCTTCCATAGCTGCAAGTCAGGTGACTTGGTCAATAGAAAGGAGTGGTAGGAGAGCTGCTCTTTCCACAAGGGCCTTGGACTTGTGACATCTCCTTGTAGTCAGTCGCTAATCCTTTCTCGGCTCAATTCCTCTACACGTCTTGGGTGAAATCGAAAAAAACATCCTCGCACCTCAGCATCTGGGTAAACTTCTTCAACTGCCCACCGAGATCGAGGTGGTCACGTTTGACCTCGTCCACAGCTTCAATGTTCTTGATGTTGGTCACAAAGAGGTAGATGTTTGGGTGGGCCTTGGCGATACGGTTCTTGGGTTTATTGCGCCTTCCTTCCCAGTGACTGTTGGTGCTGGGACCAATGTTGCCATACGGTTTGTGTCCAGATTCGTCGTAGTCCACCCAGGTAGAAGTGATTAGTCGTTGGAATTGGCTACCTTCTCTGAGTCAGGACCTTCTTCCATAGCTGCAAGCCAGGTGACTTGGTCAATAGAAAGGAGTGGTAGGAGAGCTGCTCTTTCCACATGGGCCTTGGACTTGTGACATCTCCTTGTAGTCAGTCGCTAGTCCTTTCTCGGCTAAATTCCTCTACACGTCTTGGGTGAAATCGAAAAAAACATCCTCGCACCTCAGCATCTGGGTAAACTTCTTCAACTGCCCTGATAGCCGACACCTCAAAGTCTGTCTGAATCTCATTAGGCGAAAGTTCATCTCCAACTCTAACCCTCACTACGTCATTCAGCAATGTGAACAATCCTCAACTGTAAAAAACAAGATATACAGACTCCAGCATCTTCTCAGGATAATGCTTATTTTCAGAGAAAAAAAACCTATATAATTGTATTGATGCATCTACTCAGTATAAGGTCATTATTCATTATAATACCCCTCTATCATTTTAGAATATATAAATGTATTTGGATATAACTTAACGTCCAATTCAGATAATTACAGGATACCTATCAGGGAGGTTCCATTATTTTGAGATATAATGTCTTTCACTTCATGTAATTAATGATACAGCTATCAGGGATGTTCCATTATTCTAAGAGGGGAGAAGATCATATCCCATTGTGCCGACGCTACTTTCTGTTGGCACAATGGGATGCAGCCATGTCAATTATCCATAATTACTTATGCCACAATAGTATCTCCCTTTGCAAACCTCTTGCGCATGTGCCAGGCGGAAAGACCTCACTTCTTCCCAGCATATACAACTAGATGCAGATTATTGGGGATTATTGTTGATGTAATGGAGGTAACGTTTGTTTGATAATTACTACGAATACAATACCACTTTTACACCATTGCTAGGTTAGGCAGATCGATGGGTTCCGACAACATCTAATAATACTACGGATGGTTTACAAACTACTGGATTTTTACAAGCGAAATGTACCCAAAATTCCGCAATTTCCATCCACTTTGGGTCATATTTCCTCTGTGTTATTTTGGGGCACCTAAGGAATCGACCATTTGGTTTGATGGAATAGGATGAGGTACATTCAACTTCCGGGAATGTGAAACGAGGGTTGACTTATAGGTTCTTAGCCTCGCAAAGAAAGACTTGATCTGAAGACATTAAATGATATATATTTTCAACATTATCACTCCACATTGATTCACTTTGCTAACTTTATCCAAGTGTAATGGAAGTCCTTCTCTAGGTGACCGACTCTGTGGTCCGGGGTTCGATCCCCGGCCGCGTCATACCAAAATACTTCTCTTGAAAGTCCCCAAAGTTATCCACGACTGCTATGACGTTATCGAAATGGTTGCGGTTATAGCTTTCTTGATGTTTGGGAGCAGATGTAAGTGAGATTGGGAGAAAAAGGTGGGTGCTGAAGGTGTTTAAGCCACACTCGTGGATGGATTGTAGCCATGGCAAGGATTTATGCACTCGCGCATTGTCGTCATGGAAGAGCACATGTTTTCTAAGGATTCTAGTATCCTAGTCTTTGTTTCACTCTTGACATCCATGCCAACACGGCGGCCATAACCTTTCCAGCTGATGAGACATCGTTTGCCTTCTTTGGTGGTGTTGATTCAAATGGTTCCACTATTTGTATTATTATTGGAAATAGTGAACTCAGATTTCTTCCACAGTCACAAACAGTTGCAAGAACCTCTTCTGGATTAGCTTCCAACTTCATTCCAGCGTTGTCATGTTGGAACAGCTCCCTCTGGCGGTCCAAAGTTGGGAGGAGGTGAGGACGCAGAATTTGGTCTATGTATCGGTTTGCTGTAAGATTGCCCTGGAAAACCACTAACTGTGATCTACCCGTGTAGGATATGGCTACCCACACCATGACACTCCCTCCAACAAATCGGTCCACCTGTCGAACGCAGTTCGGCGCAAAACGTTCATGTCGACGTCGGTATACACTTTGTCTTCCAACCCGTCGTTGAAGAAGAAAACGTGACTCATCGCTGAACCAAACGCGTCGCCAGTTCCTGAGATCCAATGCCTGTACTCTGTTGCACCACCGGACACGTCGTTGACGGCTGACAGGTCCAACTTTCCACCTCCCTCAGATGATTTCTGATGGTTTGGTCGGAAATTCTTCGCATACCAGGCACTTGTCCTGCAGTGTCCTTTGATGTAGCAAATCGATTCCGAAGGTGATGACCGATCCTGAGCAGGGGTGGTCACTCTTGGTCTTCCACTTCTGGGATGATCTTAAGTCGAATTAGTGCGGATATAACGAGATATGGTGTTTTGGTGAATCTTGAAGTGTCTTGCAACGGCAGACTGGGACTCCCCTGCTTCCAAACGTCCAATGGCGATATTTCGCTCAGCTGCAGTTAATCTTGGCATTTTTGGATTTCTGTTCACGTCTGAAAATTCGTAATGAACTGATGAATTTTGTACGATCTTTTATAGTCAGTGTCTCCACTCTTGTTTCCAACACTTTGCATGTGCATTGTGCTGAAAACTTTTTCTGAAAGCAATTTCCGTGCATCCTTTGCATTTTTGCTGATATAGTTTACAAACAACATTTTGAGATGTGTTTTTGCGCGCAATGCACAACAAACATGACATGATTAACGGGAATCAAACGTAAGAATTGTCTTTATGACGATTGCTGGGGAAAAGAGATCTAGTTGGAATTCTCAAAACACCTGCCGTAAAAGGCGACTATGCTTGTCGTAAGAGGCGACTAACGGATCGGTTGGTCAGCCTTGCTGACTTGGTTGATGCATGTCATCG